TAGGTCATCCTAGTGAAGAAGCCTTACAAAAATGGTGCTCCTAGTCAAACTTATTAAAAGAGGTATCCAAGGTGCTAAAACTTGACCCCCAAATAGATTCAGTACCTTGGATAGCTCTTTAAAAGTTTAGATTAATACCTGGTTTTCACTATACACCACCATCATCCCTCCTATATAGCTTCCTCTTAGTAATGAAAGAGATGCACACAGGGAATGTATGTGTATCCGAGTGGTACAGATCAAAGAATAGGGATCCTACTTCATTAATGTAAATGTTTAACCCTTCCAAGCATTGTGGAGAGAAAAAGTGGGATAATAAATAAACATAATAATGATCTCTTTTCCTTCACCACAAATGGAGAATGTCTCAGACAACTCCTATAAGAATAGGCAGAGAAACACTGGGTGTAGTTATGCTAGATGATAAGCATCTGTTCATCACCTCGGGAAGCAATATAGAAATATCCTTAAGCAAACAAATGTGCTTAATGTGATTGTTTTTCATTTCGAAGTGCCAAGTAGGGTAGTTACTGTAAAGACTGATGTATCACAAATTTTGATTTTATTGATAATCATCATATATTTGCAACTTTGAAGTTTCAAATTTGGGGCTGTAAAGCTTTTCTTGAACCAACCCAAAAGCAGCTCAAGTTGTGCACAAATCCTAAGAACAGGCAAAGTAAAGCACATCATCTGCATTCAGTATATGGCCATCTATTCAACAAATTAAAGCTTTCTTTCTGAAAGCAAGCTCACTGGCGTGGCTGCTGCCACCAATGCTCATTTGGAAAGTTTTATATGTCCTAGTATCAGACAGACAGATGTTTTGAGCAATGAGAGAGGCCGCATTGCATGCTGTCAGCAGACTGTGTTACTTTCCGTAGGCACCACTGTCCCCTTGGCCAATTTAGCCAGCTGACACTATCTCACCCAGAGCTGACACTATCTCACCCAGAGGTCATCAATTTGCAAAATATTAGAGCCAATTTGCAAAATATTAGAGCCACCTGGGTTATGCAAAAGTGCTTTAAAAAGATATAAATCAAATCTTAATGCAATATAAAACAGGCATACAGCACATATGAGAAGTTGTGGCTCCCTGGAATTACTAGTGTAGTGAGCACTGCCTTAATGTAATGCTGAGGTTTAGCAAGTATGTAAGGGCCCCCGGTGGCGCGGTGGGTTAAACCCCTGTGCCGGCAGGACTGAAGACTGACAGGTCGAAGGTTCGAATCTGGGGAGAGGCGGATGAGGTCCCTCTATCAGCTCCAGCTCCTCATGTGGGGACATGAGAGAAGCCTACCACAAGGATGATAAAAACATCAATTCATCCAGGCGTCCCCTGGGCAACGTCCTTGCAGACGGCCAATTCTCTCACACCAGAAGCGAATTGCAGTTTCTCAAGTCGCTCCTGACACGACAAAAAAAGCAAGTATGTATAAGTGTGCAAGAATCCCTTTATTGCCATCTACTGGCCAACACAAAAACTGAGAATAAGCCTCTGCAGCCTTTTAAAAGATACTCTCTTTCCAATTGCAACTGTGTTCTTCCATCATATATTAATATAATTGGAAGAACACTACTGTAAATATACAAGAAGGATCAAGTGGTGAAGATTCTTTACCTTAAGTTCCCTCTTTCCCTCCTTCCCTAATCAAAGCTTATTATGTGAAACTATTAAATATTGTGCAACACACACACACTGTTTAATTATGGTGGTTGGATTTTTTTAAAGAAGTCAAACACAACATTTTTGTGGCAGTAAAACATGACAGGACCTGAATGGTGGTACAGTGCTTTGTATCTAATAGCTTGTTCAGCATGAGGCTGGAGGCCGAGAACTTATGTCTAACTAAACCCTGTGTGTCATTCTCACCCTGAAGTGTTTTATTGCAGTAATTAACAATTTAGATACACTTTCTCACACTATGAAAGGCAGAAACAGCACTTATTATACATTGAAAGAATACTGAGAATGGAATGTGTAGGTTATGAAAGCAACTTGCTTTCTTTAATCACTGCTTACACTTTTTAGAAAACATTTTATATATACTTGCTACAAGAGTAGAGGGATCTAACTTCTATTATTTTAATTGCTAGTAAAATTTAGTAAGATGTGACTGCCATTATTAAGTATTAAAGAAATAGTCAGTGGTCTTCATTCAATGAGGTCATTGGAATAGATAGAAGCCTGATCTCATTTGATTCATTGACTTTATTTCATAAAATATATACTGATGTAATAATATAGTGATGGGGTTTCTTGATCGGCTCAGCTATCTAAGGACTGGCAATGTAGAAGGGCTTCTGTTTGACTATGGGGAAAACACTAAAAAACTTCTTTTGGATCACAGTTCTCAGAAATCTTCTAACTCTCAGAATGTAGTTCACATTTAAATCCAATTATTAGCATTGATTAAACCAGACCCATTATGTCAATTAGTTTTGTCCCAACTTACACACCTTCAAAGGAAAGGAATGCTGCAGGTGTAGAGAGGACATGTACCAAACCCAAATTTAATATCCAAATAGCTTGTTTGCCCAAATCTGCTTCCTTTTCTACCCTTGCATACATTTTCTGTTCAGCCATAACTGGATTGAACACAATGCCAAAACCCAGTGCCTTTGATTTGGGTTGCTCAAAGGGTATACATTTGTTGTAAGTCTAAGTGGTACGGAAGTGCTAGCAAATGCAGATCACAAACTCAGCTGTCACTACCATTTTGAGTTCTGTAAGCCAGACATCCACAGACAGTACAATGTTTGAAATCTGTCCAAGAAAGTTTTGTTTCCACTTGCTATGATTTGTAAGAAGAGCTCCCAAATTCCTGGATCCCTAAGACTGAAATAAATGCCCAAATGTCTAATTGTAAACAGTACTGTTTATTGTCATCCGCAATGGCCTTCTGCCTAAGGGTGATAATCTTGTAGAGCAGTGCTCTGCAAATCCATACCATTGTGATTTTTCAGTGATGACTAAAGTTGTTTTTGGTGACAGCATGCATTGGCCATTTAGAGACTTACTTGTCCTCTACACATAAAAAGAAGTAGGGAGTAGGAATACAGGAAGAATGTCAAACTACTGTCCTTGTTATGACTCATTATATCTAGAGGAGACTGACCTCCTATAGAGACCTACAAAGCCACCCGACTTCCCCTCCACTACAAAGCCACCTGACTTCCCCTCCACAACCCTCAAGAAACTATTGGGTCCCACACAGTGTATTTACTATTTATGCCACAAGCTGGATGCCATTCTAACTGCTGGGACACTGTCCTCTGGAATCCTGGGATTTGAAATTGCATAAGGTACTTAAGAATTTTCCTCTTGAGAATCTAGTGCCCTTCTATGAATTTCAATACTGTAGCTCTTTACCATATGACTCTAAGTACCTTACCAAGCTATAAATTCCAGGATTATGTAGGATGGAGCCATGCAGCTCAAGTGGTATTAAAGTGCAATGTCTGTGAGGTATGTATACTGGTAGTTAGAAAGGATCGTCCTTACTAATGTATTGAAGACTGGAATGCTTCTTTCTTCTCAATCTGTGATCTCGTTCTGACTACATAATTATGCTAGTTTGATACTGCTTTAGCTGCCATGACTGCACCCTAAGGAATCCTGAAAGCTGTAGTTTGGTAATCTCTACAGTGCTCTGACAGAAAAATTGAAATATCTCAGATATTGAAAATTCCAGGATTTAATAGAATGGAGCCATGAGAGTTTAAATAGTATGAATTCTTGTAGCTGTCACTTGGGACATATGAGGAGCTTCTATGTGGTTCAGGGACAGCTTGCAGGTCTGCCATTATTTACTGCCATTGCTCTTGTAGCTGCTCCAAATGGTAAAAGCCCTGGTAGGGAGGCATCTCTGAAGACATGGGATCCAGGACTCAGAAAGTTCCCATTCAAATCAGAGCAGGAAAAAAAAATATGCAGAGTACTTACTGTCCCTGAAGTGCTTGGTCCATCCAGTTGCCCCTGACATGGTCTGTCTGTTGCTGAACACAAGAGGATTATCTGGTGACAAAGAAGGACTTCCCTTTTCTAAGCTAACATTAACACTTTTGATCTAAACCTTCATCATTTCCCACCCCTAAGGACAACAAAAAGTGAGGAATAGTTTTACAGAAAGCCAAGAAAACTAGGCTTTGGGGTCAAGAACCAACTGAATAATGTAAAAATTTATTAGCTCTTTAGTGCGGAGGATAAGTTAATTAATAACTTCATTCTGGTGAAATATTAATGCTAAAATTCCAATTTAAGTCAGTCAAACAAGAGGACTATTCACAAACAGGAAAATACAAATAATGTTTAAACAGTCCAATTGCAGACCTCTGGGGAGGGGGGGGGATACTGGGTTTAAAATGCTGTTAACAATGGCTCTAAAGTTAAAACTGATGTGGGAAATATCAATCTCTGCTGAATTGTCATTTCTGTCTTGCCGTACCACTAGCTATGCTGCCTAGAGTTGGCAAGGGAGTAGTAGCCTAATGACATTTTAAAGATCTTCTTGTGAGTAGGCACATTACTAATCTGGTTCATATGATTGGGAGCCTGCACTTCAGCTTTGTGAGAAAATGACATTTCTGTATCATAATATCACATAAATTAGTAGGCATAAGCAACTGTTTTGCCCTCTCCTTGGAAGGATCTCAGTAACTACCAGGCCCATGGTAGTCCTCTGGAAATTGTGTTATAGTCCAACTCTGTTTTAAGAAATAGTTATCTGATTTTAGTATCAGAAAAACTAATTATAATGGAGGTTTTGTCTATGTTTATTACTGTAGATATTATGACAAGGGCAGGCAAGAGTTGGATACATATAATTGGTCGATGTGTCTCCATGGTTGCGAAGCCTCTGCGGTTGTGTGTGTGTGTGTGTGTGTGTGTTATGTACGCTTTCTACATATTTACATTGGGTTATAAAAATGATGCTTCCATATATCAGTTTTAATTGTGATTCTGAACTTCTCTCATTTTTTTTACCCCATGTCAGATACAAGGCAACTTCAGCCATCTCCTCCTTGGCCTTATGACCCTTCTTACCAATATCTGGGATCAATTGCAACACCCTCCGTTCATCCAGCAACACCAATTTCACCTGGAAGGGCTAGTGGAATGACTTCCCTTTCTGCGGAACTTTCAAGCCGTCTGACAGGTAAGTCTTGCTATTTCTTGAGTGATTTTCTTCAACTTGTTAATCCCAGGATACCAAATGTGTGGAGCAGAGGTGGAAGGAAAGAACAGCCACTGTGAAGGAAATAAGATTATCTTCTTGAAATTGTCCTGCTGATTATTTTGCTGCTTGGCTTAATGGAATCGTGAACCTTTGCATTGTGCTTTTTTGCCTTCTTCTCTGGCTCCCCTCATCGAGATATTCAAGTACTACTAGTGGCCTTCACATTATTTATTCCAGTTCAGAGGCAACTGGTGGAACACAAGAACACTGAAGCCACTATTGTTTGTCCTGCAGATGCTTCAGTGTATGGGAGCTCAGAAAGGAGATGGTCCTGCACCAGCAGAACTCCTCCTCAATTTGGGATAGCTATTGGAAGAGCAACAGTTACAAACAGCAGCGAATTCATCACCTGCTGTCATTGGTCTCCATAGATGGCTCCAGGTGTCTATTTACTTAGTAATGCTTTATACTTTGTCTGGGGAGCCAGCTTTGCTCCTGCTTACTGTTCTATACAAGGAAGGGGCAGGAAGATTAATGTGCTCTTAGCAGACACTTTCAGATGATGGCTGAGCCCTGATCCTCTCACCTGTGACCAGCTTTGTACACACATCTCTCCATTTCCCATTTTTAACATGTGAAAAATTGCATTCTATAGATGGGAATCAGTTTGGTGGGTGAAACATTACTTGTTGAATTTTAGCAGGACATTGGGGCCTTGTCTTGCATTATGGCTTCTGGTGGACATTGTTACTGTATACTGTTTTTCTACCTGTGAGGTCTCAGTCGATAAAAGCAGCTACAAATATTGAAACCAGCATGTAGAGGCAACACACAAACCATGTATTCATGATTTCTAAGCCATCATTTGAGAGCCAACATGAGATAGTGCTTTAAGCATTGGACTACAATTGTGGAGAGTAGACTTCTAATCCCCAGTCAGCCATGGAAACTGGGTGATCTTGGGCAAGTCACAAACTCTCAGCCTCAGAAGAAGGTCAAGGCAAAGCCTCTCCGAGTGGGTCTTGCCTAGAAAACCCTGTGGTAAGTTCATCCTAGGGTTGTCATAGGTTGGAAATGACTTGCAGGCACACAAACACACATGCAAGCTGCCAGTTTAGGATTTTGTCCAATTCTGTTAGGCTAGAATTACTTCCAGTTGCCATATAAATCAGATGAATAGTGACTTTGTAATATGTCTACAAGTGATTTTCCTTTAAAGGCATGGAGTCTGTCCATAAGGAAAGGTTCTTTTTTTAAAAAAAAATCTGTTCACTTGCTGTTTCCTTACTTTTAGGATTTTACACAGATGGGTTTTACCCTTAAGCAAATGCAGCTGGTTTTTATAATGAAGCTTTTGTGTCTGGACTACAATGTTCACTTTAAGCACTGTTTGGTACGCACACATTAAAAAGCCTCTAATCTTCATATGCCCTCACGGAATTTACTTGCACACAGTGCATAATAGGCCAAAATAAATTTATCCTTTGTGAGCAACAGTAGTAGGACAGAAGATTTAAAAATTAAAAGGACAGACTTTTGAGGAAAATGCAATGCAGCCAATAAATCATACTTACTAACTAAATAGTAAGAGGCACATATAGCATAGGAAAAATGGTAGCTCTTCCGCTACTACTGAGGAGCAATAGCATACAACATTGTCTGCACAGTTCAAATCGTACTAAGCTAGGATGGTTGCCTCTTCTTTCACATACTTTGATTGAATTTTAACTCCTGAAGGGCAGGTGGGCATTAGGTAAAATAACTTTTATCACAGTACCTCTATATTAAACAACAACATCACCAGTTCCATTTCTGCCTGTCAAATTGCTGTAAAGGGCATAGGAACCATGGTACAAAAAAAATGGCAATCCTTTTTGCAGTTGAAATCTAATCTGCTAGGAGGTACATCCAGGTGTTCAGTAGTATTGTTAAGGAGAAAAGCAAATGGCTATTATACTTGGCATATCTGGAATTAAGACGTTACAGCATGTCATAGAAATCTTCTGAGAAAGCCATGTACGTATATCAAAGAGGCCCGGCTGTTGGACTGACAAGCTTTCAGAACCTGAGACTTCAAGATGTCTGCAGCGCCCTTCTAATCCAGTCACAGTGCAGACTGGTTTTTGTTTTCTTTCTCCCACCTACAGACTCCCACCCCGCCTCTCCATACACAGTCATACGCATTCCTTTTATGCAGACTCTACACTGTCTGAGGAGGTGTTGCCATGAGGAAATATTCCTTTATTGTTATTTTAATGCCTTTAATGCTGGCAAGAAAGAGGAGCCAGGGTCCCTGTTAATTGGAGCCTGTCTAGAAACACTCTTTTAAGAGCCCATTATCTCTTTAATCTGTTTTGGGGGGTGCACACATAGAATTGGAGCTGGGTGGTGAGTGAGAACTCCTCAGCCAACAGAGAAGAGATGACGTTCAACCATTATTTCAAACATGGCTCATATTATTTGGTATATTTTCATCCCCAGTCTCTGGATCTCTGTGGGCTGAGACAGGGAGCCAAAAGTCAGTAACAGGTTGGGATGAACTAAAAGGAGGGCAAAGGTCTGATATTTGCAGGCATGTTCCTCTACATTAAAAAGTGCCCCTTTGATAAATGTTCTTACAGGGATCACAACGAAATGAGCAAGAACATTTTCTGAAAACAACCTAACAGTGATACTATTATTTAAAGGATGAAATGTTTCAGAGCTCACCACTTTCTCCCAAAAGTTCTACATCTGCTTTGAAAGCCGAAACAGCAAAATATTTGGCAGATTTCTAAGTCTCATTGTTTCTCAGATCTACGCAGCCCCTCATACCACATTGTGCTTTGCTGTTGCCTTTATTTTTGCTGTTCACTCTCTAATGCCATGTGGTGATCCCCAGAATATAGGACTCTGGACATTAGCTTCCAAATCTGGCCTTAACAGCACTATCCTTCGTCCCTAGTTACCTAAGATGATGGGCAGACTCAAGAAACATTTCTAGTGGGTATTTTCTTATGCAGGCACATACAGAAGTGATCCTTTAAGTATCTTTTTGAATGTGCAGCACAAACTTCAAAAGCTCTCAACACAAGCATATTACAAATATTTCGCTCTTGGTAGAATATAATTCACTTTGTTTTGTTACATCTATACCCAGCTTTTCCTCCAGTGGGCTCGAGGCAGCATATATGACTTTTCAGCTCCCCACTTAATCCTCAAAATATGTTAGTGGAGTAGGTCAGGCTCACTGGTCCAAGCTTACCCAGTAAAGTTAATGGATCTGGATCTCCCAAGTCCTCACTCTAACACTATACCACATTGGTTGTTTGCACCTTTTACATGAAATGTGGCTGATATTCTTTAGAACTGGAAATCTATTAGTATTATGCATATTTTTGCTGAAGTGTACTAGAAATCACTCTATTCTGCTCCTATGTTCACTGTTTTCTCTGTCCTCTTTCCAAATCCAGGTGCTTCTGACCTTACAGCATTCAGTGATCCAAGAGTAGGAATTGAACGTCCTTTCCCTGCCATTCCATCCATTTCTGATCCTCGTATGCACTATTCAGGACCATTCACCTACGCTCCAACACCTGTCAGTTCAGGAATAGGAATTGGCATGTCTGCCATGACCACTGCCACAAGATACCACACTTATCTCCCCCCTCCATACCCAGGTTCTTCTCAGGCTCAAGGTGGCCCATTTCAGACCAGCTCTCCATCTTATCATCTCTACTATGGAACATCAGCGGGATCTTATCAGTTCTCCATGATGTCTGGAGGAGATCGGTCACCCCCGCGTATTCTTCCTCCTTGCACTAATGCTTCCACAGGATCGACCCTCCTCAATCCCAACCTTCCAAACCAGAATGATGTTGTGGACACAGAAGGCAGTCACAGCAACTCCCCTACCAACATGGGAACCACAGCACGCCTAGAAGAAGCAGTATGGCGACCATATTGAATTAATTATCAGTATATGTGTCCAACCTGCTGGTGTCCATGGTATTCTCATGAGTGATTGAGGGCTCTGCCATGTTTGTATATTATACAGAGAAGCAGTCTAGAAATCAATGTTTCTGGGAATGATGCCATGGTGGCCAACTGATTTTACTCAACAAGGAGATAACATTCTCAAAAAGTACACTCCTCAAGGGACTGAACTTCTAAAGATGATACTGTTTTAAATGGTGGTAATACTACTCACTCACTTTGTCTATTGATATGGGGAAGAATAGATGCTCAATGTGTTTCCAGAGCGTGACACTTCAAAGTGAATTTGGAGCTCCTCAAATCTTTTTTTTTAAATTCCTTTGACATATGGGTATGGAGGCTTAAAGCCTTACACCATGTTAATGAGTTTAATCAATCATTTTGACATATTAGTTAAAAGGAAGTATAGGAAGATTCTCAGAGAGAAACTGTGAATACTTCTGATTTAGCAATGCTGTGAATAAGATTTTTTATATCCTGGAATTAAGTTTTTAGCCAAGTGGTATATCCCAAAGAGTATGGGGATTCTTTTTAATTTTTATTATTTCTTGGGATGCAACTCATCCTTCTTTGCATATCATTGTTTATTTCCTTTTTTGGCACCTTAAAAATTGCAGAAAAAGATTTAATCTTTTTTTTAAAAAAAATATACGCTTGCTTATCTTATACTTTATCAGCCAGATACAGCCAAAACAGACAAACAAACCTTCCCAGAAGGTAATTTCATTTTTCCTTTAATATAAAAAAGTGACAGACAAGCGTCCTTTTCAACTACTGAAATTATGATGAGTTACCTGATATTTATGCTCAGCATTGAGTTTGTTGTGTGTGATACCTTTTATTATTTAAATATGCTTTAAAGATAAGCACATGTATTTTGTAGCAACCAAAGTTTAAAATTATCACATATAAAATGGCTGGAATAATTATGGGTAATGTGACTTTTAATTATTTAGAAGTATTGTTTACATTTTGTTCCATTTCATTTTCTTTGGTCAATTGACACACAATAAAGTTTCTCCAGCTGAGAACCCAAAATTATTTTAAGTGTTAGTAAGGAAGAAACAGTGACAAGATATGTCTGTTCTTAGGGGGAGAAGGATTTTGCTATTTCACGTTGAAGGTTTAAATAGGATTTGAATAGGAGTTGGAGCAGGGCACTAGAGGCAGGCACTGGTCTCCGAGAGCACAGTTTCCACGTAAAAAAACTGAATATAATGCTCCATGTTATATGGCACCAACATCCTGAAAAGGAAGAGAAATAAAAAACAACACAAAAAACAGCCAATATCAGTGGCCACTGATGGCTTCCATTTCAGTGGCATGGTAAATCTAATGTTAAAGTCTGGTTTTTAGAGATGCTGTACAGTTAGCCCTCCCCATTTCCAGTTTTAACTTTTACAGATTTGAGTATTTGCTATTTTGATTAATATGTTCTCTATAGGAATCTATAGATCCCTCAGCATGACCCTATGGCCAGCATCTGCCAGAAGATGATCATAGAGTCATGATGGAGATCTAAACATTCTTAGAGATAACACTTTTCTAGACATGTATTGCTCCTCCAGAGATTATGTGATCAATGTCCCAATGCTTCATGTAGAGTCACACTGAAGAACCTAGAGAGGTGTTCAAAATAATATTTTTTTCTATTCAGTTTTCCCACTTTTGTGGAGATTCAGCATCCCTAGCCCCAGCTAATGTGGAGGGCCAACTATACCCCTCAAAATAGGTTCAGTGCTTTGAATAGTAATTTTTGAAATTGAACCTGGAATGGAGTCACTACCCCATTGTCATGGAAGCCACCATAGGTTAGCAGTAACTTCCAGATTTGTATGTTGTCGGTAGAATCTGACACATACTGGACATTCTGCTTTGATGTGCTGGAGAATGCAAGAACATGTTTAAAACTCTGATCCTAAACTCAGTCATTTGGATACAGATAACGTGGAAATCAATAGAGATAAAGCTCACAGTAGATGTAGTGCAAAGTCGCAGTTACCCTTTCTGTATCCTTACAAAGTGCCTGCCACAAGCAATCCCAGGATAGTGTAGGCCTAAGCAGAAAAATGGCATGGGAATGGGTCCATTTGTACCTTCATTCATCCCCAGCTGCTTTTCACCCTAAAACATAGGGCAGGGGATGTACGGAATTGGCCCATAATTCCCATCACTCCTCATGCATTATGCCAACTAAGACTGGGTACTGGGTGTTGCAGTCTGACAACAGTTGTAAAACCAGAAGTCTTGCGTGTCTGCAGTGAAAGGAAAGGTATGACCTTTCGATATTCAACCACAGGTGGAAAAGCAGACAGGCAGTTTTCAGTAGAAAAACAACAGGAGGGGAGAAAGTTGTGTATCTTCTCCCTCACATTGTGCAGGTTTGCAGCCTCTTGAACTCACTGTCGCTTTAAAAAATGGCACCTGGCAGCTTTTCACATTATGGTGGCGCACCCCAGCAACACATAAAATCAGTTCACCTTGTAAAACAGTGGCCCTCTCTAAAACAGAGAAGCAGAATAACCATCAGGTGGTAGACTGAGATAGCCCACTCAATAGCATATTTGTAATTTTTGTCCATTTGTTTTCATGATAACTCAATATGATTGTTGTTGTTTCACTGTTTGTTACATCTCAAACATTACTGTAAATTATAAGGCACTATTTTATACAGGGGAGTGGTCTCAATGCAGTCCTATTCCTCAAAAACAGAACCTCCTGAAGTTGATAGATTTCAGAATTATCTTTTGATTGTTAAAAGACCTTCCAAAAATCAGTGAAACAACTTCAGGTCAATCCATTGGTATTTAAATCAGTGTTGGGTGTTTTAGAGAAATAATAAAAGGATTTGGTTTAGAAAGATCCTTGGCTGCAGGCAGCAAAACAGCTGAACTTATTTAAATTACTTCTTTTTACTTATAGATATAGATATATATTTGTAGATTTGCTTTTGCCTTGTTTGTGTGTTTGATGCAGTAGCACTTTGGTATAAAATGTTACAGAGTTAAGCAATGCTATGACATCAGTAGGGTCAACTTTCTGCATAAAACCTTTTCAGCTGATCTCAGCCAAACAAAAAAGCAATGTCATGTCCGCCTCTTTCAGTCTAGCAGGTTAATGGGTTTCTGAAGGTAAATCTTAGACTTTATTTGAGTGAATACGTGTATTGCAATTAGAGTATTTAAGGGTTTTTTTTAAAAAAAATCTGAAACTTCTGTGCTTCTGATTTTTTAAATGTTGTTTAAGTAGTTAATCTTACAAAACTGTTACAACCATCTTCTCTGATTTTTCAAGTTTCAGTTCTTATCTCTCCAAATGATATTTAAAGGAAACTTTCATAATAATTCTTCCACATGATGCAGTCTATAACACAATGCATTTTATTTTCTGTCACAAGTGTTTGCTGGTGACATCTATTTAGATAAATAACAGCAACTAGGCCAACTGCATAATCCCTACAATCTGTTTATAACAGTCCACCTTCCACATTCAGTGGCGTTAGAGGCACAGGACCTCCATGAAAATGAAAAAAATTAATTAAGAAATTGCTAAATATTATTTCCTGAGAATATCTCTCTAGGAATATCTAGGTCTTCTAGTACAACTCTGTAATTGAATTCCACTGGAATTGAAGGTGGGGTCACACTGGAGGACCTAGAGATTTGTAGAGAAAACATTTGTAATCAGATCTACAAATAACCAAATTCGCAACAGCCAAAACTGCAAATATTGCAAATATTGTCCTATCCTTTCCAATATTAGATTAATTCACCATTTTCTTCACATGTTGGTAACTAATAGGACACTGTTGTGCAAATTTAATCAGAAACAAGTTACATTGTGCTCGCCAGAATTTCCTCCCAGTAAGTCTGAATGAGCTTCTTCTAGAAATAGGCTGAAATGAAACAATTAACTGTTGAGGTAGCATTCCTATGATAGGTAATGTTGAGGTAGAATTCCTATGATAGGTAATGAGTGTGAAATAGGCAATATTCTGGGGGAATCTGCAATTATTAAAGTCCTACAAAGGTCAGCTAAACTGGGATCAAGGGAGGCAGAAGGGGGTATAAAATACTTCACATCTTCAGAGGAAGGCAATAAATGTATAGCTAACTTTACCATTTCATGCCATTTGTCTATCTAGCTCAGTTTTGTCTACTCATGATGGAAGTGGATGTCCTTCCGACAGAAACCTTTCACATCTCTTGCTTCCTGTTATTTTAAATAGAAATGATATGTGTTGTTCCAGCCAGGGTTACTCCAAGATACTTTGCTGGCAGAGCTGAAAGTGGCACATGTTTCTCACCTCAACTCAAGGATGATAGTTATTTTGGCACATGAGGGAGAAAATCCAACAAATGTCTGACAGTAAACATATCATAACATAGTAAATAAATAACAATTTGTTTTCTCACTCTACTAAATGTAAGACAAGTTCAGCCACCAGCAAGGTATGGTTCATTTTCAGCAGTCGTTTTCCTCTTATACCTATGTTAAGTGTTTTCCACCCTGTTCTCTTAGTACAAAAATACATAGAAAAAAACCCCAGACCACATTAGACCAATACCTTTGGTAGACTACTGTATCATTTGCAATGTCAAATCAGCCCTGTGAATAGCATCTATCATTTTGCCTTTTGCAGGTCCTTCCCTAGACAGTGGTTCTCAACCTGTGGATCTCCAGACGTTTTGGTCTTAAACTCCCAGAAATCCTAACAGCTGGTAAACTGGCTGGGATTTCTGAGTGTTATAGTCCAAAACACTTGGGGACCCACAGGTTGAGAACCACTGCTCAAGAATGAAATTAATGTATGCTCCCTATATTAAAATCAGAGACCTATCTTTAACTCTCCACTTCATCGTTTACCTCATGTCAAGTCTTTATTATCCCTGTGGAACCCTCCAGCTAATATTTAACATGTTAGGACTACCACTCACAAGCATTCCTTTTTTTCTTTCAAGAGATAAATCCAGGTTTCCTTTTTGAAAGCTGTTCTTTCACAAGGCTTGGGATCAAAATGTATGATATGTTTAGTACATATTTAGAGGAAGTTCTCCCTCAAGTGGAGAAAGATGCCTGTCATCATACTTCAAGCTTCTCATCGCCTGCATGCTGTTTATCTTTTTTGTGTCTGTTCACACACACAAGTACTGGCTAAATTTGGAAATGTTATTACTGAGACACCTACTTCTTCTTGCAGGAGGGAAATGTCTTAAACATGCATTCCCTTTGATATTTAGTTTAAACCTTAGTGTCAGTAAGCTCTGGATTTACAATCCTGAATTCAGTTATACATAATTCAGTGCCACAGGTTCCTGAAAACATCAGAAATCATATTTATGTGGACAGTTTTAATTTGATAATCCAGGCAGTCCAATTGTTTGCACACATTCTCTGATTCCTTCAGTAGCTGTTCAATTTTTCAAAACATAAATCACACACTGTGTGTGTGTGTGTGTGTATCTGCATTTTTACCCTGCTCTATCTCATCCCCGAAAGGGGACTAAGAACAGCTTCCAGATTGGCAATATCCAATGCCACATGAAACATAAAAACATACAAATACAAATTACAATATACATTAAAATAATAAAAGTCATAAAAACAATGCCATATAAAAACTTTACATAAACTGTTAAACATAGTATGTTGTTTAAGGGCTGGAACAAATTGACCAAGATCCACCAAGATGACTTAGTTACACAACGGTTTTAGTATAGGGACTCTCACTCTTTCTTTCCTGGTTTGCTACAAATACGGCAAGAAAGGCTTTCTTAGGAGCAGCTCCATCCATTTGTCTGTGAGAGCGTGCCCAGATACATTGTGGTTGCCCTTGCACACCTAAGTAAAAATGAGCAGCCACTGCTGCCAACGAGACAGGCATTAATAAAAGTACCCCCTGGAACACTCTGAAAAGTACATATTTTCATGTAACCAACAATATTCCAGCGAATGCTTCATTTCATTAGATTTTAGTCTACAGAACATATAAATGTGTATTTGATTACCTGCATAGTGTGTAAGAGTGTCTTTGCGCATTGGGTTCCCTCCCGCTTGAAATGGTATAATCTCAACCAACATGAAAATGTTGGTTGAGGTTATGCTAGGCTTTCATAAGGAGGAATGAACTGTTGCTAGAAGAGAAACCAGTTACAGGCAGTCCCCAAGTTATGAACAAGATAGGTTCTGTAGGTTTGTTCTTCACTTTCTATCCCTGTGATAACTGGATTTTTTTTTTAAATGGCTTGCTATGAAAACAAGAATAGGTGATACAGCTTCAGTGGAGACATCTTTTCCCCATGATAATTCTTACAGGAGTGAATTTCCTTTCCTTAGGAGTAGATTTCTCTCACTTCCTGTTTTCTCACCCCCGTTCTTAACTATGAGTCATTTCTTAGTCATATGTCTGTAACTTTGGAACTACCTGTATTTACAATCCAGTTCTGCTGAATATATTTAGCATGGGTGACAGAGCAGGGGGGAGGCAACATCCAGCCCTAAATCCATTCTGGAGTATAATATGATTCCCCTTGCAAATGTAATGAGTTGGCTCTGTATCCACAGATTCTGCATCCATGGATTTCACCATCCATGGCTTGAAAATATTCCCCAAAACACCTCCAAAAAGCAAAACTTTATTCCGCCATTTTATATGAAGGACATCATTTAACTACACCTTTGTATATATAATAGGATTTGAGCATCCAAACCCCAGGGGAAAACAAAGGCCTCTTTTATTTTCCATAGGATTTTGTGAACTAGAAGAAAGAGCAAAGTGAGCAATCTACATTAATTATATTTGAGAAAGCTCAAAACACATTTCCTTTTGACTTTTCAGTAACTGAGCCCATTTTGAGAAATGGCATGTACTGAAAAATTCTACACTAGTTGCGTTGCCAAAGTCAGATGGCTGGGCCAAATGCTTCCAGGTCTATAGCTTTTTTTTAACATTAAGTGTTCCATGCTTTAATCTATGTGGTTGGATCCAGACATAATCATATTTAGGGTAGGTCTGTTTCGATCAGTGGGATTTAATCTGCCTAATAAGAAGCTGCAGGGACCGTGGTGGCTCAACGGGTTAAACCACTGAGCTGCGGAACTTGCTGACCAAAAGGTTGAGGGTTCGAATCCGCAGAGCAGGGTGAGCTCCTGTCATCAGTCCCAGCTCCTGCCAACCTAGCAGTTTGCAGACATTCAAATGTGAGTAGATCAATAGGCACCGCTTCGGTGGGAAGGTAACGGCACTCCATGCAGTAATGTCAGCACATGACCTAGGAGGTATCTACGGACAATGCCTGCTCTTTGGCTTAGAAATGGAGATGAGCACCAACCCCCAGAGTCAGACTGAGTCCCTGCAGCTTCTTATTAGGCAGATTAAATCCCACTGATCGAAACATGTCAAGGGGAAACACCTTTACCTTTACCTTTAATAAGAAGCTGCATTGACTTCAGTGCATCTAAGTGACTATGACAAAATACCACATATTACTAAGAACAAACTAGGTTGCTTGTTGTTTTTTTTAACACTAAAGCTAAACAGGAACATTATAGGTAATTTATGACATAATCTGCAAAAACTAATTTAGAAAAACTAAGTAAATATCAGAATCCAAACTAAAGAATAAAGCCTGAAAGAAACCTCTACCACCATTTCACCAGTTTAGATGTGCTTTTGTTCTCCAAGAGAAGTGGCATTCCGTTTTGTAAAATGTAACTGTTTAAGCATCACATTTTAGATTGGGACAACCAATAATGGTTAATAACGAGATTTTTTTAGTAAATAATATAGCATACTTAAGCTGAAGGAGTTGGTTGAAAGTACTTTAAATTAATTTGGCTCGAACTGAACTGGTTTAGATGGTTGTTTTGTTTTGATTGCTATGGGTTGTGGGTAATACTTCATTTCACTGAGCTGCTGAGCTAAATGTCTGAGAATCCTAACTATATTTATCAGAAGAAAAATCTCACTGAAATCAGAAAGACTCACTTTTGAATTATTGTACACCAGGATTGAATGTCAGATCTCTCTGGAAGTTACATTTTCTGACATTTTAATGTTGCAGTTTGAAAGCATTCAAATGTGAGTAGGTAGCTTTGGCAGGAAAGTAACGGCACTCCATGCAGTCATGCCGACCACATAACCTAGGAGGCATCTACGGACAATGCCGGCTCTTTGGCTTAGAAATGGAGATGAGCACCACTCCCAGAGTCAGACTCGACTAGGCTTAATGTCAGGGGAAAACTTTTTCCTTTACCTTTAGTGCAACTGGATCTTATCCACATACAGAGTTGCTTAATGAATGAGTTCAACTGATTTCCCACAGATATCCCACAAACTCTTTTTCTACCCTCCAAATATTCATTGCTTTTACTTAGATAGCATTTGTTATACTTTGCTCACAAAATCTTTGTTTATAACATTTTATAAACGTTTTATTCTCTAAGGCTTGTTTTGCCTTGCAACTTTTCTCTCCATTTCCTTTGGCCAATATTATCCCCTAAAGATTTTGTTTCACATCTCATGGAAGGGTTGCATCAGGAGACCTAATTGTATTTATGTATGTAAATAAGTTCAAAAGCTTCATAGAGAAAAAAAATATGGTTAATGCTTATAAGTATTTTGACATGTTTCATTTTCTGTATCTTTCCTAAATCCGCCTCTGCTAAATACTGTAGGAAACTTTTTTCTTTCCAATTTAATTCCTTTAGACTTCAAGATGAAAACTATTTTAGTTACTTTGTAAACAGTTCAGAGCATGGTTTTGTGTGGCACATTAAAACTCTTCACCTTTTTGTTGTGGGGGGGAAGTGAATGTGCAAAGAGCTGTTGGTTACATGTGGTATTCTGAAGGTAGACATAAGTTTTAAAAATATACATTTCAACAGGAAATTATTCTGAGGAGTATCTCATGGGTGGAACACAATGACAAATGGAGCTGAACAGATATTTGGACATGTGTTTTCTAAATGTACTACAACCAACTTGTGCTGTGTACTGGAACTTTCCACGTCTTCTCTTGATGCTGTCATATTTTGGATCACTTTTAGAAGGGGATCCCCTTTAGTCTTCATGATAGCTGTTTGGAAAAAACTGGAGTCAGTTCCCCATCCCCACTCCATCATATTTCTAGATATATCTGAGTAGGCATTTCCTCTGCAGAACATCCAGGTGAAATCATTGTGAGTAGCATGCAGAGCAGCTGGGCTGCTGCATTTGTTCTAAAGGAAATTTGCTTTCTTTATACCACATTTTTTCTGTACATTCAATATTATAATTAGTGTGAATGACAAATAAATTGTTTGAGAAATATGCAAGCATTCAATGGTTGTATTATTTTACAGAGCTTTATGAAATTTGTTTTGAAATGTCTTCTCACAAAAGGGTCACCCAATTTGGTCATGACTTTGGGTGGATCTGTAACTACTAACTACCAGTACAACAATTGGAAATACTGTCTTTTTGGACTACAGCTTCAAAAGGAAAGTTTCCAAAATTGTGTTAGTAATCTCTGCAGGGGAACATGAAAAAGAAAATAGTCAGACTCTCATTTCATACTGGGTTTAGAAAACTAAGGCACAATGAGAAGCCTATTGTTTATGAAACAACAGTTGCCCTGCTGTTATTGCGTTTAAAGAGCATTAAATCCAATTTGCAGAAGTCAGAAATCTTACGGATTGCACAACGACCAAAACCACCTGCAAAACCACACATTAAGGGTCACAGCACACTTCGCCACATTCATTCAATATCACTGAAGAGTGGGGGGTTTATTTATTTTTCATGTCAGGAGCAGCTTGAGAAACTGCAAGCCACTTCTGGTGTGAGAGAATTGGCCGTCTGCAAGGATGTTGCCCAGGGGACACCCAGATGTTTTGATGTTTTACCATCCTTGTGGGAGGCTTCTCTCATATCCCTGCATGGGGAGCTGGAGTTGACAGAGGGAGCTCATCCATGCTGTCCCTGGATTCGAAACTCTGACCTGTCAGTCTTCTGTCCTGCCAGCACATGGATTTAACCCATTGCGCCACAGGGGGATGAGCAAAGGTGTATCTAGCTATTTTCTTAAAGCTGGGCATATTGCAAGGAGGTCACCTTCAGAGACCTCCCAAACACCCCAGAGGCACAACCAGTTACAAGAAGTCAGCTAGACATGTTTTCATTCATCCATTCTCCAGCAACACATAAATGGCCATGTTGGGAGCTATGCAGGTTTCACTACATGCCAGATGAATGCCTCCTTCAACCAGCAAATTCCAAATTCCATCATGTAGAAATACATTTATTAGTCCAGCCAAAAGGTGTAAAATACATAATGCTATCCTTCAAAGCTTCACAGGCTTTATCAGGCAGAGATAATAAAAGTAGCATTCAGTTGGGTCTCCAAAGCTCCCTGTGACCAAAGAGCTCAGGCATTTACTTTCATAGTCTTCCCTGGTTAGGTCCTTGGAAGGCTCGCCCAAGATATCTGATTGCCTGAAGCAAAAGAGCAGATTACACACACACACCATTCCCAGCTCAAAGTGTACACAGCCCAACTTGGCTGGCTAAGTAATTTTGGCACCTGAAATACAAAGTACTGCATGTGTCTCTTCTTGAGAGACAACCCTGTAAAAACATCATGAGGTACCTTCAAGATTAGAATGTTTTATTTGACATAAACTGCGGTGGGTTGTGGCCCATAAATGCTCATGCTAAAGTTTTCAAAGTGTTACTCTTTGGGGTGACAAAAACACTTAATTTTTTCTATTGCAACTGATTAACATGAGGGTACATTTACAAAAATTTTCTTTTGCAGTACAATAGTAACAATTTTTAGTTGTAGTTCCTCCATGGCCCAAATCTTACATTATACTGCAGAGATACTAGAGAATGAAGCCTGCTGGTTTTCCCTTGACAATGCAGTAATAACAACATGACTGACACAGTGCCATACCACTGGTCAGGATCCCAATATGCACCTAAGTGTTGTGTGGTTATTGTGGCACAAACAGGGAGGAAGTGTTGTTACAAGGTAGTATTCGATACCTCTCTGCACGATGTTGAAGCAAGTTTGCATGTTACGTAACAACAATCACACCGCATAAATCACCAAAAAGATGTGGTCCAAATCGGCTGCCTGAGTCAGCCACCTCATTACGTCTAAAAAGAGACATTCCCATGTGCTGTGGGAACACTTGGAGAGGGATGAGATCTTTCCTCTTATGCTAAGTAATCATAACTAGTGTTTGCCAGAAAAGAACTGATGCCCTTCAATAATATTTCAAAATCTCTGTCCTCATAAGACCCAGCTTTTGAAACTGCATCCAAACTGTCCATGCAAAAAGAACCAATAGCACATGCCTTCCCATATACTTCAGTGTAAGTGAGAAAGTGATCGTTTAAGCACTTACCATCTTTCACAGATGTCACAGAAAGCATACAGGCCTGAATCCTACTGGGAGTCTCAAATAAAGTTGACCCATGATATCAATGGGATTTACTGTACATATATTCAATTATTATTTTGATTGATTTATTTATGTATCGTAACAGGAGCGAACCAATGTATTTGAGAAAACACAAAGTTCAAAAACTTGGCATTCTATTAGATGTCCTTTGAGCAGTAGCTGGCCACTTGGAGTGCCTCTGGTGTTGCTATAAGAAGGTCCTCTATTGTGCATGAGGCAGGGCTCAGTTTGCATTATAGTAGGTGGTCTGTGGTTGCTCTTCTCCACACTCGCATGTTGTGGACTCCACTTTGTAGCCCCATTTCTTAAGATGAGCTCTGCATCTCGTGGTGCCAGAGCACAGTCTGTTCAGTGCCTTCCAAGTTGCCCAGTCTTCTGTGCACCCAGGAGTCTCTCATTTGGTATCAGCCATGGATTGAGGTGCTGGGTTTTAGCCTGGTGTGCTGGCTGATATCCAAAGTAGATTCTTTAGAGGAATCTACTTTAGTTGCAATTACTAACAGGATTCAGGGCTTAGTGGTTTTTCCATGCCTTCAAGTTGCTTTCAACCCCAGCTCAGGGAGTCTTTGACAATGTTTTTCAAAGGGATCTTGCCTTCTTCTAGGGCTGAGAGAGTGTTACTAGCCTAACAACCCTCAATGGCCCATCAGGGATTTGAACCCAGGTCTCCAAGACTCATAGACTTATGCTCAAATCAGAACACCCACTGCTCTATTTTGGACCTGTATTTATTTACCCAAAATGCAAAAGAATGTGGACACATAAGCATTAGTGTGTGTGTGTGTGTGTGTATGTTCTGTTTGAATGTGAAGGGCAATCCAGCCAAATCTAAGGTCCTTTTAGTCCACAGATCCCTCCCTCTGCCATTAGTGAAGTGCTTAATTCTCTTTCATTTAAATTAATGGACCTAAAATGCTTATCTGAAGCTGGCTCATGCTGTGCATTTAAACAAGCCATCTAAATCCATACAGATTTTCAGAGAAATATTTAACTCATGACTTCAAGAGTTTGCTCTCTGGTTTGAAGTTACAGGGACATCTAAAGGTTTTCCAGACTTCTATTAGTCACTACGAGTCATTGTCTGGGAATTGTTTGGGTTTGTAAGAAAAGAGTAAAATAAATTAGGAAGAAAATCTAATACACAGGCTTTAAAATAAAGCTCTATGTCTGACATAGAATAAATAATGTTTGGTTTCAAACTTCTTTAAAGTAGCATAAGATGTTTGCAATGTATAAAGCACCCCTTTTCTCTGCCTCCTTCTTTCCAATGTACAATAAAAGCCCTCTGTAAGATGTCTGGTCAACATTTTCGCCCTTCTTTATAACAAGAAGGATTTCCTGCAAAGGTCTGATTTCAATTTCCCTAGGAAAAGAACGTTAGTGATTTTTCATGTTGCTAATATTCCATAGTGATAAAGACAGGTAGCTATTCTGTTTGTAATTTATGTGTAATTTATGCATATTTTGCCTTTCTCCTGGGATGGAATTCAAGTGTGCAAGAGATTCCACTTGAAGCACTCTGAAATTTAAACCAGTTCATTCTAGACTGAAATAATTGGTCCAGTTCTGATATTTAGATGGATGCACAAGCCCTTTCTCTATCATTTTGCATGGCATAAGCTGTGGCATAAGTATGTCATATGAATGCTGAAACTCAATGTTTGTGCAATTTTTCTCTTTATGTGTGAGGAGACAGTATTTCACAATTCAGACCAGTCTGGGAATGGGAAATCTGTTTTGTTAAGGCTGGGTTTGACATTAGGAAGAGTAGGCCAACTGCCTCAGGGACAAATCCTATGGCAGGACACATAGTGTGACAGCACATTATTTGAGAACACAGAAATGCTGGACCACTCTAACAACTACCATGTCAGGCTACACAGAGAAGCCATTGAAATCCACAAGCAGGTGGACGGTTTTGGCAAAGAGGACGAGGCCATGAGGGTGGGCAGGATCTGGCTACCAGTGTTGAAGAACTCTAAAATGATGGTAGTAAATAAAAAACAAAACTCAAACACAGGAGAATTCCTGAGAAGAAACAATTAGGGACAGCTAATCACTTCTCAACAAAGAATTCCCTCAGGCAGTAACAGGGCATGCCTAAAATGCTAATCAAGGTGGCCAATTGAAACATTCACACCTAGCTCTAACAGACAAGAGTTCTTTCTCCCACCCTGGACTTTCCACAGATATATAAACCCAATTATCCTAGTTTCCAAAAGACCTCACAACCACTTAGGATGCCTGCCATAGATGCAAGTGAAACGTCAGGAGGGAATACTTCTAGAACATGGTCATACAGCCCGAAAAACCTACAACAACCCAGTGTGACAACTCCTCTTCACTGATCCTCCTGAGCCCCTCCTGCCCTCTCCCCATGTTATTTTCCTCAGTTAAAAGTCCAACCTCTGCATGCCATTTGGCCTGACCTGGATTTTGAAAGTAGCCAGCAGCCTCAGATTCTTGCAGAGGATGCTTTCTCACTGCCAATGTTCAGGCAAGATTCAACAAGCAGTCTGGTCGACTTATCTACACGGAGTAGACAAGTAGGTGCCATCTTGTATTTCCCTCTGTCATATTATGAATTTCATAGAATCATAGAATACTTGAGTTGGAAGAGACCTCATGGGCCATCCACCCAACCCCCTCACAAGAAGCAGGAAAATCACATTCAAAGCACTCCTGGCAAATGGCTTAAAAGACTCCAAAGAAGGAGCCTCCACTATACTCCAGGGTAGAGAGTTCCACTGGTGAACAGCTGTCACAGTTAGGAAGTTCTTCCTAATGTTCAAGTGGAATCTCCTTTCCTGTAGTCTGAAGCCATTGGTCCATGTCCATGTTTTTTCCAGTTCCGGTTCCGGT